ATTTGAAATAATTTATATTTTATATGATAAGACGATTTAATTATTTACTCGAAAAGAAAAAAAAAATTAAATTTCTTCTCTGGAAACGTATATGTATGTCAATTGTTTGGTAACGTGTTTAAAATGATTTAATATAATTGCTCCATTTATTTTAAAAATGCATGAAAGAAATTATGATACGTATTACGCAAATCATTTTTCCTATAACGTTTACATTCAATTATACATTAATTACGAGATGTAGTGCGATGATTTTGTGAGATTACAAGCCTCGATTAATAGTCCGGTTGATCGATCTACAAATTTAATTCGTGCGCCATAGATTACGGCTTGTCGTGCACTTATAAACCATGTTCGATGATTATATCTTTAGCGATGCTGTCAATCGTGCAGCGTTGAATGAATATTTCTAATAGCACAGAATATTATTTTTATTTATTATTCTTAACACGAAGTAACAAGTCATTATTTTTTAGTTGCTTTTCCATTTAATAGATAATTCTATTACGTTTTTCTTGCAATTATAAACATTTTATTGAAAATTTTTGAAAATGTTGCTTTTTAACTAGACACTAATGAATATAATAAAATAATGACATAACCTCATTTTGACGAAAAAAGAGATTTGTACTGAAAATTACTAAGAAAGAAATTCTCATAAATATGTCTTAAACGGCTGATTTCATACGATAAAAGTTTCGTAATTTTATGCAATTATACTACAATCACTAATTTGAATGAAGAATTTGTGAGCACGGGGCTGTAACGTTTCCAGAACGATGAAATTTTAAACGCGAGGGTGGGTCGTTTCTGTAATGGGATAACGGGAACCGATGGGAGGATATAAAGACATAGCTTACCCGCGGGGAACATCAACCCTCGCTCGTGAAAGCCAATCGAGCACGAACAACCACCCTAATCGCGGAGCGCCATTGGCTCGGAGTTACTCCAATTCTATTACACCTTCTGTCATGGCCATTTATAGCGTTTAATCGACCAGACCGGATCGTAATATGGCGGCGATAAACCCTCCGGTTGAGCCATGCACATGCCATCTCACCCCCAAGATATTTCTATCGTTAAATAGAAAAGTCAGCATTTGCAGTTTCGAGGTAATCGCAGATGCAAGAGTATTCTAAATATCTTAAATTACATTTCTTTCAATTTCACTTTGTATTTTTTGTTAATTATCTGGAAGAAATAAAACAACGAAAAAAATTAATTGATGTTCTAAATTTAACGAGAAATTTAATAATAAATTTGATCAAGATATTACTGCGTTTTAATTATAATTATGGTGAACTTCATAATATTGCATCGGTTAATTAGAAAAAGTTTTAATGAACTATATAATATTGTAAAAAAATAAAATTGCGTGGCATTAATATGGCGATAAATATTTTGACAAATTTCTAACATGTCAAAATAATATCATCAACCAATCGGATTCAAACTTTCAAGTTGAAATAAATATTCTTTTATCAACTCTGACAGTAATTACCGCGGTAAAGGTAACTTTTTAAAACATTTTTATTCGCTGTACCGCGGTATTGTTAAGCCAACTACTTGAGCTCGCTTATCTATGCGTCTGTACAGTGGGTAATTATTTATACCCATTTTTAAATATTTACTTACAAAGTACGCAAGAGAGTACGCTAATAATACCCGTGCGGCATTAATGTGGCGATAATTATACGGTTCTGTCCTCTTTCGGAACGTCGATGACAAAGTAAACTGAAAAAAAATTTACAATTGTGTACAGAAAATGTTTTTAAGTAATAATAACTGAGTGGGAATGTGCTTCATTTTTATTTTATAGAAATTAATATATTATATATTTGTTTTTACTATAAAAATTTAAACATCATTTATACATAAATAATCTAAGCGCTTAAGCTGGATAACAATGATAGCAATGTTTCTCTTGAATAATAACGATTATCTTTTAAGATACAATTTTCACGTATCTGTTTTCTGTCGAGCAGAATTCGTTAACTTCTTAGTGCATCGCAACTCTATTAGATTAGCAATTCTTATTTTTTTCGTGCTTATCTATATGCAACGTAATTCGTTTTACGTATCGGTAAGTATAGCGTAAGACAAGTGAGACCAAACGTGAGATGGGACGCATTCCACTGTTTCGGATAAAGGAAGAATTTAAAGAATAATGCGATAAACATGACACACGCTTATCACGTGCGATAATAAATAACAAAGACATGAGTATACCGTATTTTTATTTATTACTAACCAAATAAAGTCTTTGCATTATTATGTATAATTTTTCGACTGCACCGACTAGATATGATACTTGTCGCCTCCCCTGATAATTGATATTCCGCGCGTCTGCGTTCCATTACGTTGCGTGTGCGCGTAATGTTAATTTGTTAATCAACGCGCTATCTTGTTAATTATCCGATAACAAGCCGATAGTTTATAGAGTTGCTGGAAGAATGAGATTCCGTTATCGTGCGAGCTCGTTTCGCTTTATCGGCTGACGACTAAATGGTAATTCGCTATTTATTCGTCGCAAGAAAGTCGAGTAATGCGCGTTATCGTAGCCAGGCAGGTATTTTGCATATCGGCCAACTAGAAACTCGGCCGCGATGCGGTGCAGCGTGTGGCAGTATTTTTTCCGTTATTCCACGCTCGTATCGCTTCTCCCGCGACTGCATTCTAGTTGTGCGGATGCTGCGGAATTCGTCCAGTGACGAAATATCGAAATCATATATATCAATTTGGACTGTACCTTTAAATCCGCAGGAAAGGCGTAATCGTTTATTTACAGACGTATCAGTTGCGTAACGCTCGAAAATTATTTCGAATTACTTCAACTATTCGGAAATTAGACATTTAATTGTTATGTTTTTATTATATTTGAATATGTAATTGTCTTTGAAATCCAGTTTTTTATCGTAATGCCATGATACTGGATAAAGCTGTGTGCTTTGAAATTATTTTACAAGAAATCTCTAACAATTCAAACAATTCATTTATCTAGTAACATAATAAGATTACTTGGAGGGAGAAAACACAATTTTACTGAATAATTTAGAATTTTACTAAATACAAGTCTGAAAATAATTTTTTTGGGCACCAAAAAAATTTGACTCTAGAGTAATCAGTTTAAGTTTCCAATAAAATTATTTTGAAGGTATAACCAAATTATTTTCTTCATTCTGCAGCCAACAAAATTTTAGAACCTTCAGAAAAATCGTTCTTTCCGTGTACTAATTGTGAAAGAAGTAGGATTAAAGTAAAGGAGCGATAAGAATGTGAATTATCGTTTTCAAAAATTTTTTGTTTAGGAATAACTTTTCTGGCAGAGAAGGGCTTACGAGAGTGATGTAATAATTCGCTCTAGAACTCTAATTGGGCATCGTTTCAATCACGTATTTATCTACACCGTCGATACGTGTCGGCAATAACGACAGCGATACAGTTTTTGCTAGATCCATGGGCGGACTAATTTCGAGTTAATCGCTGTCTTATCGCGATCTACCGACTTTAAATGCGCCTTAATTAACTCCGCCGCTCTTATAAGGGCGGTCGGTTTTTGCTGAATCTCTGGCACAAAAGGCACTCGCCGGGAAAAAGTAAATCCTGGAACCGCAGTTTCTCAAGCCCCGGAATGTCGTGCGGCTTTGATAGAAGAGGTAACTGATCGTCTCCTCCGAAATCTCAGTGACATGATCGATCATTTGTTTCTCCAATGTTTCTTTCCGCGGATTTAATGAAAACATTTGCACGTTTCCTTGAACTAATTTTTAGGCTGTTATTATATGCGAAAATATCTGCAATCGTCTCAGGAATAATGTTTCATAAGTCATAAACGGATTGATATATAAGCACTTTCAATCTGTCATGTTACATACATTTTTGTTTATCTCATATTACTCTTTGTCTATTAAAAATGCCGCGTTTAGATATCTATTGAAATTAATAATTTTATGAGTACGAGAATTAATTTGCATGTCTTTTTTAGATCTGCACGAAACGTGTCGCGAATTTTTTCCCAATCACAAGCGTCACATTCGATTTGTGTGCAAATACATACAAGAAACTATCACTCAAATTATTTCTATATATCGCTATAATTAAGGATTCCATAGCACCATATAATCAACACGCAGAATGGATTTTTTATACGATGACAAATTACATAGATCTACTAATAATTACACTTTCAACTTAATCAACTCAATAATTAACTTGTCCACCATATAGCCTTAGAATATGATATATACCTGTCACCTATTATAAATATAGTCGTTTATTTCTATTTATCCTATAAGAGAAGCAAAGTTCTTGGTTTATCTGTCATATATTTATATATATTTTTATATACGATTATTCAATTTTATATAATATTTTCCAAAATTACTATTATTTATAGATATACAAATTTTTTTAATAATACGGATTTAAGTTAGAACTATTATAAGGCAATGTTACGATTGTTAATTTTCTTGTTTGTATCTCAGGGTAATTATGCGTAAAAAAAACGGAAAAAAGATTAAAAGATGTAAAAAACATTATTACAAAAATTTGTAATAAAATTTTGTAATAAAATTTAATTAATTAATTGATTAAGTAGAAATTTAAGTTAATATAATTTCAAGATCAACTTTTAATATTGTAGATACTATAAGGATTTATGAAAACGTATCTTGATGATCTTTATGTTATGTATTTCATAATAAAAGTGTACTGGATGTAAATATATCTATTTATTTGAGATAAATGTAAGAAGCAAGTATACAGGGTTGGCCATATTCGACGGAAAGATGTTTTTTTTTTCAATCATGGGAAAAAAACACATTTTTTTTCCTACTCGATCTAACATCTCTGTCATTGCCAGATCTTTCCGTCGAATATGGCCAACCCTGTATATATCTCAATATAGCTCAGCCTCTTCGGAAGACGAATTTATGACATTATAATTGTTTTGATCGTCGCACGATGAATGATGAATTTAAGTAGACTATCTAAAGACTCACTTTGCGGACGCTCATCATCCTGCGTGGGAAGCTCCGTTTCCTCGACATCAACAAGACTGCGGATGCTGAAGATCCTTCTAGGCGTCGTGCTGAGATCCATCGTTGATAGTCGCACTATTTTCGTGAATAGGAATGAACGGGGAAAGGAATTGGCATTTCACGTCCTCTCACCGTACACATCGAGATCATGTCGTCTCCGTCGTCGACGTTGTCGTCTGCATCTTCGACCTCGTGACTTCATTAACAAATAACAAATGAATATTGTCCGCGAGAAAAGCTTCAGTTTCTTTACACCTATCAGTCTTTTCAATTTTACCGATTGTCGAGTTCGACGATATTCAATGCGTAATACTCGAAAGAGTAATTTACAGCTTCAATTGGACAGACTCGATAACAAAATCGTAGGCCACTTTAATATGTCGTTTTGCATTTACATTTTTATACTACAGCGTTCTTATTTATTCCTTCTTCCTCCAATGTCAACTTAATGACAACTTAATCTCATTGACAACTTCCTGTCAAACTTCAGCTTCGATAACTTTATTCGAATCTGTCACGCGAGCTCAGCTTCGCTTATTTTTAAAAAAGAGCTGCTCGTTTATCCGCCGCGTGTCTTTTCATTTGAATCACTCCTAACAATTGCGGATATGTTGCACCTAGATAACAGACCGTCGTTAGTTAAGTCGTCAAGCCACGATATCTCTAGAAGAATTCAATGATAACTTGGTTTCTAACTGAACAGTTTTTTTCTAATAGCGGATACAATGATCACATATCACACGTTATCGATTGCACTTTTTTTCGTGATCTCGGAGATCGATTAGCTTCGAGTGTTTGATGATCAGTCTTCTGACGTTGCACTGATGTTCCCCGTGATTCGCTCTACCACGCGATGAATCGTTTCCTTATGATCTAGAAAATCTTTCTTTCATGAGCCTTTCATTCCATATTGGAATCTAGTTTTCCGATTCTACTTTTCCGTTTTCAGGCGAAGACAACCGTTCTCGTTATTCGACGATACCTCCGGACGGATCATCGAGTTGCTTATTATCAACTCTGACCGGAAGCGTTTTATCACATTAATTGTTATCAGAAGCGCGTTATAGCAATCGTGGTCTGACGTCGCGGAAAAGTTATTTCTGCCGGGCCTGTAAACAAGCTCACGCACAGACACGCACCTGGGAGGATCGATGAACTCTTTCACGGTTCACGTGATCCAACTTTCGGTCGTCCTTGTGTTTACGAATCACAACGCCTGATCCAATCTTCCTTCTGTTTTCGTAAAATCACCAGTTTAAGGTCCAGTCACGGAGCGAAAGGAGATTCTCAATCTTCGCCGTTTATTAAATAAATAGCTCCTCACGCGATTATTTTCGATTTTCGAACTGACACTCGTGACAGTAAGACGTAATGACAATAGGACGATGGAGATCTTGTGCAGCTCAGCTCTGTGCGGAGTGACAGTTTTACCAATCTTAAGATTTTTTTAAGGAAACACATTGAAATCACTAAATATAACTCTATTCAACAATTATGATTGTAATTATATAAACATTACAAATGAATAGAGCGCGTGAATATTTTATCATACAAATTGCTAATTGCAAACTCGATTTGCAACGTTTGGAGTCAGTCTTTAAGAAATTAATGGTCAATCTTAATATATTATCAAATTCCTCGATATAGAGAAAATATCACTTTTTCTAATAAAGTCGAGGAACTCTTCCTCGGTATGGCTGTTTATCTAAAACCTTCTCGCAACGTAGGCTCTAATATTTATAAATAAAAGAGTGGTATATCACTTTTTTTTTCTACGTATATACATATACTCAATATTGTCTCTTCCGAGATATTGTAAAATTCGTAACTATTGTTCCATAAGTTCGTGTAAAAGTCATATCCACGTAAAACACAATAATTCTTCATTGGGCCGATTATTTGCGCCACGATGTCCATCAGCACATTTGTTTAACTTCTCAAAGTAACATTAACATAGAAGATTGACACCTCTCATCACTTAAAAATTTTTCCCTAACTATATTTGTGCGGTTTCCAGTATAAACATAATTAATTTACAGATATACACATAAGTGCCGTATCCAATTAGAATACCTTTCCTATTGAATTTATTATTCATTGAGATTTGCATCACGTACACTTTTCTAATTTTCCGAGTCCGAGCGGCGTGCCTTCGGGCACATTCTCCATAACGAACAGCGATCAAGTCATCGACATTCACCCAGAACGCGGTCGGATAGCCGGCTCGAAAGCAGACTTGACAGTTCCGTCATGACGGAACGAGAGACCGTTCGAGAGAACGAAGCCGTAGGCGCGCGGCACACACGCGTATCGCGAACTCCTGGCCGAATGTGCGCCGTCGCGTTCCCTCCACTTCGAGGAGGTCGATCGCTTGCGCTGCCCAAGGTGATACCAGGTAGTAGAGGGGAAGGTGTGGAGAACCTGCGGACCGCCTTCGTGCTACAAAATGGAGTTGGACACAGGTTGAGAGCCCGCCCATCGGGATCCACCCACGACCGCGAGAAGGGTTGGCCGAATCTTCTCTTCCGGAGGCTGTTTCCTCTGACGAGAAGAGATAACGGTTGCCTCGCTTCGCGTGCGCTTGGACGTGAATCTCGAACGAGTGCCTCGGTTTCGATGATTTTGCCGTAAAAAGAAATTATTTATCTCATCGAGTCAATTTTCGACTGCTTCAAATTTAAATGATAAAGGTGGTTTGATAATGTTGTGATAGTGATCTATGGAAGATTTTGAATCTTTTTAACGTAAGATTCTAAGACTTTTTTTAAAAAAGAAACGAAGGTTGTTTATTTTTATTTTATATTTTTAAATATGCAAGAGTTTAAGAAAGTTTGATTATTGTCAAATCTCATTGAACTATTAAAGGTAGTATTAAAAGCATGAATATGAATTGGCGAGTGCTAGCGTGGCATGACAGACAGCGCACTGATCTATGCCAAAAGTCCCGGTAGGAACCAAAATATTTACGCTCGTGTCTCCTCTCGGAAATAGCAACCTCCCGAGAGTATCCTTGCTCACAGAAATATCTCTCGAAAACTCTGCCATTTGGAATCAGCGTGGAAACTGTAGGTCCAATATGCTGCTATCGTGATTTTAAATAATTAGCGTGTGCACCATATGAGAGAGGTGTAACACAGACCCGAGGCCTAACGTAAGAAGAAGAAAAAGAAGAAAAAGAATATGAATTGGAAATGTGAAAAAAGTGATTTTTTATTTGTATCTACGTATATCTAAGATATATTTATATTCTACACTAAATGTTAAAATCAATTTAATCATGTGATCCTATTTTTGGATATAACAAAACGGAAATGTCCTAGTTTTCTGTTTAAATCATGTTAAATTTGTTAGATTGATTAAAAAAGTAAATAAATATGTTTAGCTAGGACTCTCTCTCTCTTTAAAATAACAATGACAGCTAATTTAAGGCTACTGAGAGTCAGCGCAGGAGGGGGTGTGCAATTGTTATAATGTAAAATATAAATTAATTACTCCATTGATGGAGCAATCAATTCATATTTTATATTATTTTTTGCGCATCCCTTTATTGTTATTGTTATATTGAAAATGATACGAAAAAACTTTGATATATTATATCTTGTAATAGATAAACATTAATTATCAATGCAAAAGTTTCGTCAATGTGATGCCAATTGTTTTACAATTTCGATACTTAGAACAAGAACTCTAAGAACAAATTAAAGATTTTTTGTAAGAGATGTTTGAATTGTAACAAAATTTTGAATGGAAATCACATTAGAATCAGGAGTCTTTATCATCTTTTCTTCTATATTTATTTATTGTATATTATTTCAGACTTTTTCTCCTTAAAGCTTTAAAATAACTCAGAAAGTTTTGTATTTGACAAAAAAAAAGGAAAAGGACTTTAAGATTAACTTTGAAAATTGGAAAACATTGCGGTAGAGGGTATTTGCACAAGTGAACGAGTTCGATAAGTAATTCTCTTCGGTTTATTTCATATGTAATGTTCATTGATTTTTAATACAATACGTAGTGCGTTTAATAATTCGCCATAATAGCCAGCCATTAGAAGCACCTCGAACGGCAGAAGATTGCAAAATGACAGGTTTTTGATTATGACAAACGCTTTTATACAAGAAAATTCCGCAATACGTGATGCATGAGTTCAATTCTTTCAAGCCTATTATTTACAAAAAGTCATCGCAATTAAATATAATTTGATTTTTCGTGCATTGTTTAATTTGCGTAAAAATAATACTTATTCTACTTATTACTAATACAGAAAGTAATTACGATTTTTCGTAATTTAATGAATTATCTACTTTTCAACCGTGTATGATATACAGCGACTTACGTAGGTCGCAATGACAAGTTGAAAATCGCAAGGAAGTAAAGATAAAAGTAATAAAAACGCAATTCTGAAAGAGATCACATTCGATACAGTTCCACTAATAATATCGCCCTTTGAGGCGCTTCGCATCGCTGAATTTTGACAACAGACATTGTCCTGCACAATCCGACGAACACAATTAATTTGGGCGAATATAAGTATACAATTCCGCAGTGACACGTCGCTTTATAAATTCCTACATGACTACGATCAACGCAAAAGAATTTCGAATGAATCGGAATACGGAAAAAGGACGTTGCGCTTCCATTGTGTATCGCAAATGCGTAAATGTAACATCTAACGGGAGTTCGAGGACGAGCTGTACATTTTGTAACGAAGTCGTAATTTCGTACTTTTAATCGCATAAAATTATATTCGTAAAATTATATAATATCTATTCTTCGTGATATCTAAATAAAACTCTGCCGATGCGAAAAGAGATTTAAAAAATTAAATAAATATAATTTTCACGCAATAACTAATGTAAAAGTAATCAACTCCATTTCGCTTTTAGTATGAATATAAATTCAAAAAGAATATTTTAAACAAAAAAGCAATTTGTTTGTTTCATTCATATAAAAATTCATACGTAAATATTCAAAATATGCGTATATTTTATATGTATATTTTCCCGTAAAAATAAGATATAGAATTTATGAATTATGATATAGAATTCTGTGCACAGAATA